CATTAGTGCAAGAGCATTACCAAGTGTTGCTCACATCGCTCCTTCAGCGTCGCTGAAGCTGTAGGAATAAGGTATGACTTTTATATTGTTCAGTTGGTACCCTGGACAGACATTTATGGAAGGGCGGTCTAGTGATCATCCTGCCTCCCATGTACCTTCCCTTCCACCCTCACACCGTAGCTAGTAGCAGCAACTTGCTTTATCCACCCCTGTACACATAAAGGCATAATAAATCAAGACTATTAGCTGATCCTGCAGACCAGAAGAAAAATAAAACGGAAGATAAGGAACATGTATTCACCATGCGTAGAAATAATTATGTTCACAAGAACTAAAAAAAATAAGGCAACAAAAACTGCCTAATAGGAAAAATGATGTAGGTTACATGGCATTAACTCCAATAAAGTTACAGATACAGTCTTGATAAGACAGTCTCAAGTTATATAGTGTTAAAATCACTTCTGAAAGTCAACACAAAGTGCTACCCATTATGCAAACAAATATTTTGTGGACTGCTAATTCGTCTACAACAACTTGATATATACCAGCATTGAATGGACAGGTTAGCTGTGTCACCTAAGCGACTAGCTTATTGTGCACTCGCGGTTCATCCCATGAGCGGTAGCGCATAACACAGAGGCCACACTGGGTCTTTGTCAGACCCAACTGAACAATGTTATACCACTAGAAAGGAATATTAGTCATCCCATATTTTACAATTTCTTCATAAAATTGTCGTACACAGTACAGTAAAAATACAATTTCAAATAACTGATTTTTTATTACCACTAATAGACAGATTTCATGGCTATCGTGATCAGATTTTTGTCCAGCTGGGCACTATTATGCTGTATAGCCCTTGTGGCTTAGCTTTTCTTTTTGATTATAATAATAATAATAATGGGCACTATTACGTCGCCCTGTATGAAACATCACTAGGGATGCTGTGTCAGCAATGGCTTCACGGCACCAGAAGATGCACCTCCAAAAAGCACTGGAGTCAAGTTAGTGCTGAGCTGCATCCATCGTTGCAATGTTATTATTTACTAAGAGAGGGCAGCCAGTCAGAAAAATAAATCTTTAATTTGTGATACTCCCAGTGTAAGAGCATCGCACCTTGAGTGTTCGACCCGTCCAGCCCACCTCAGCCGGAAAGACCCTTGTCCTGGGAGGTGGAGTACCCCCATGCTGCTGTGTCGTGTCAGCTTTAGTGGTTTTTCTGTTGTCGTCTGTACACAAGATTGAAAATGTAGGTGTCGCTCCTGGTAAGCTGACCAGGGATCTTACTTAGTCTGTGATATAGCAGGATAAAAGATGGAAGAGCAGCAAAAATATTCTAGAGCACTTAAGTATGCTGGTGACTACCCCTTAAAGGAAAGTAAGGAGGCAGAGACTGCTTTGATGCTAGTGTTCTTAATCCAAGAAATCTGAGCTGCCTTCCCTAACCTCTGATCACATCTGATTACCTCACATTCCCCAGGTTTTACATGACTCCTAAAGATTTAGCGCTTGCTCATGAAAATAAAGGCAATCCCGGCCAAGCCACGGTAAGTCTGCCTGTGGGTTGGTGCTCGGCTGCAGTATTTGGCCACTCCCCCACCACCACCTGTCTAGTAACTCCAGCACTGCTGGAAGGAAACCTTTAAAGTTGCCGTAGCTACTGAACCCATAGTTGGATACTTAACGATCTCCACATTCCACTTCGCCTTACTGAAGTCTCCAAACTTAGATTTCCTCATGTGTAAAATCCACTCTCTGATGGGTAATAGAGTTGTGGATGAGTGGAACAAACTCCCGAGTACCGTCATAGACGCTAAGACGTTGTGTAGTTTTAAAAATAGGTTGGATAAATACATGAGTGGGTGTGGGTGGGTGTAAGTTGGACCTGACTGCTTGGACTACCAGGTCTGGTGCCTTGCTACTTCCTTAAGTGGAAGTGATCTGACTAGGTGGTCATTGTTCTAGGCCGGGGGGGTGGCATGGACTTGCTTCGCATGGGTCAGTAGGCCTGTTGCAGTGTTCCTTCTTTCTTATGTTCTTATGTTCTTATGGAATATAACAGGCAAGTATAGTTAGATCTTGCTCCCACTATGTAACTCAGATAAGGTAGTCATATAATTCGAATGTTTTCGCCATGTAACTCCCAGATATGTTTGGGCAGCCACATAAAGTAATTTTCTACCATGTACTCGTACCTCTCATTCAAAATAGTGTGGCCACCCAGTGCAGGTGTTTCCACCATAGATTTTGCATGTAAAACGTATACTGAATAGGAAACCGCGCAGTGTGGATTTAGGAGTTCTGGTTAATATCAATCTAAAGCCTAGACAACAGTGCTTAAATGTTCATAATGAAGCTAATATACTCATTGGCTTTATATCAAGTAGTATAAATAATATGGGCCCTCAGATTATACTTCACATTTATACAGCCTTGCTAACGCCTCATTTAGATCATGTTCCGCAGTTCTGGTCACCGTATTACAGAATGGATATTAATGCGCTGGAAAACATACAGAGAAGGAGGACAAAGTTGATCCCATGTATCAGAAATCTTTCCTACAAGGATTGAGTGAGGGCACTGAATCTGCACTCTCTGGAAAGGCGTAAAATTACGGAAGATATGATTGTGTATAAATGGAAAATAAGAAGAAGTAAAGGAGATAAAGATTCCCATATGTTGCATAAGTGTCTCAATCTTCAACTTGTCGGTTTTCAACCATTTATCACATCTGTCAGACACTGCAACATCATGGGATCTTGATACAAAGAATTCTTCAACCTTGTCCAACATTCGGACGAAGACCAACTTCGACTAGTGGATGGTACCACTATGACCCCGCCTCCTCCTGCTTCGCCTCACCTGACTACAGTATATAAGCCACTTCTTCGGCCCTATGCTGTACTTTCTACAAGATTGATGGACTGAACACATCGACTCCAGGCTGAGGGACTGATTACCTCAAACTCCTCCTCTCCTTACATCCTTCTGATTTGTATTGGACTGATGAAGCCACTGTGTGGCGAAACGTTTCTTCAATAAAGATTCCCATATGTTGCATAAGTGTTTCAAACATACATTTAGTATTTATGTACTGAAACTGTTTTTATCTCTGTAAATATACAATGAATGGTATATATTTCCCTTAAAATACACTGAAAAGTGTATATTTGTTTATATACCGTGAAAAGTGTATATTTCAGTTTATATACTATGAATAAACTGTGAATATTGTGAATAAAATGCAGAGAATTCGTAGTTTGGAAGTTAGGAGGAGGTGCAGGATTGCCAAAACTGTTGTCCAGAGGGCTGAGAAAGGGTTGTTGAGGTGGTTCGGACATGCAGAGAGTATGGAATGAAACAGAATGACTTCGAGAGTGTATAAATCTGTAGCGGAGGGAAGGCGGGTAGGGGTCGGCCTAGGAAAGGGTGGAGGGAGAGGGTAGAGAAGATTTTCTGTGCGAGTGGCTTGGACTTCCAGCAAGCATGCGTGAACGTATTTGATAGGAGTGAATGGAGACAAATGGTTTTTAATACTTGATGTGTTGTTGGAGTGTGAGCAAAGTAACATTTATGAAGGGATTCAGGGAAACCGGCAGGCCGGCCTTGAGTCCTGGAGATGGGAAGTACAGTGCCTGCACTCTGAAGGAGGGGTGTTAATGTTGCAGTTTAAAAACTGTAGTGTAAAGCACCCTTCTGGCAAGACAGTGATGGAGTGAATGATGAGAAAGTTTTTCTTTTTCGGGCCACCCTGCCTTGGTGGGAATCAGCGGATGTGTTAATAAAAAAAATAATAATATGAAAAGTGTATATTTCTCAGAGCGTATACACTAAAATATTGAAGATTGAGACACTTGTGCAACATATGGGAATCTTTATTGAAGAAACGTTCCGCCACACAGTGGCTTCATTAGTCCAATATAAAGCAGAAATGGGTAAGGAGAGGAGTTTCAGGTAATCAGTCCCTCAGCTTGGAATCAATGTGTTCAGTCCATCATTCTTGTAGAAAATACAGCATAGGGCCAGAGAAGTGGCTTATATACTGTAGTCAGGTGAGTGGAAGCAGGAGACGGCGGGATCACAGTGGAACCTGCCACTAGTGTAAGTAGGTCTTCGTCCAAAGGTTGGACAGGTATTGAAGAATTCCTTGTATCAACAACCCATGATGATGATAATGGGAATCTTGTTGATAGTGTCTCAATCTTCACTGTGTCGGTTTTCAGGACAATACACACTAAAATGTGCTATTATCTCAGGGTATATACTGGAAGGGTGATATTTTACTGTTATACTCTCAAATGGTTTTCTCAGGTTATTTACACTGAAGTACATGTCTCTCAAAGAAATTTATGATTTTGTTGAAAGATTAACATACTTGCATCATTGGGTTTTTATGATGAAACGGTTTCATCTAACAAGGGTGGACCGGGTAAGCACGGAAGGCCTCGGTCAGTTTACCAAAACTCCAAAGCGGGTCTCATTAACTGAAGGACCAGCGTCAGGAACATTTTCTGTGTTCCTGACGAACTCATTCATAACTAACCTAAACTTTCTCTACACAGTAGACTTCTTCAGTCAAATACAGAGGCAGCAGGTATAGTAGTAAAATAAAAATGATGTGATCAGTCTATTAACCTTGAAGAAAAAGGATTGATAGACTGTTTACATCTTTATTTCACTACTACACCAGTTTCCTCTGTATTTGACTGAAGAAGCCTACTGTGTAGGCGAAACGTTTTATTAGCAAAGATTCCCAGCTGTTGCACACATGTTTTAATCTTCAACTTGTCGGTATTTTATACCAATTTTAACAATACTGAAAGATAGCTTTCAGCAAGTTTACACTGAGAGTTTACCTTATTCTCTGTACTCTTGACCGGCGGAGTACAAGTCGAACAGATCTGTACTCCGCCGGTCAAGAAATAAAGATACCTAACTGTTGCACATCTGTCTTATCAACCTGCCGGCATTGTGTACCATTATCATATTCACTCTTTCAGGAACTGCTAGAACGTCGGCTAGGAGACTATTCGCACAAGATAAATGTTCATCCTGGCTACCCCGTTCGGGACTTGTTGGTCGATGTCACCATTCACGAAACTAGAGATATTAGCATCCTCAAAGTCAAAAAAATACCAGGCGGCGTGGAGTTTAGAGATGCTGGTAAGTTATTCAACTGTGATGAAAATGGTTTTAAAAAACAACGAGTTGAAGACTGAGACACTTGTGGAAAGTTTGGGAATCATTACTGAGGAAACATGTGGCCAGTCAGTGGCTTCTTCAGTCCAATACAGAGAAGAGCGGTGGAAGATGAGGAGTTTGAGGTAATAAGTCCCTCAGTCTATCAGTCTTGAGAGAAGTACTTTTCTCAAGAATGATGGAATAAACACATCAACCCCAGGCTGATGGACTGATTACCTCGAACTTCTCAACTTCCACCGTTCTTCTCTGTACAAGACTGAAGAAGCCAAACGCTAAACGTTTCCTTAATGAAGATTACCAAATGTTGGACAAGTGTCTCATTCTTCGAGTTATTCAGTGCCTGGGGGAAAACACTGGCAGGATTGGAGGAGGATAAATATTGATTGTTCAAGAGCTTTTTACCAGCATTAAGGCGCACCTCACACTTAAAGGGTAGACTATATGAAAAGTCAGAGAAAGGCTATAACTGTTTAAATTCGACTGTAGAAAAAAAAAAAAAAATAATACCGTGGCTGGAACAGTACACCAAGAACCCGCACTTAGGAATGGAACCTTATGACGACGTTTGGTTCACTCTTAACCACTATCAAGTAACAACTGTTGTAACTTGCCAATGGTAAAGGACAGAGAGAAGCGTCATCATAAGATTGCTGACCCAAGTGCGGGTTTTTTATTATATTACACTGCATACTGTACAGAGTGGTGCTTAGTTTCTAGACCTTTTGTGTATCCATGTGCTCTTGTGCTGCCCTCTCCTGGAGAGCTATGAGACTCACAATACACTAGCCGCTTCAGCTGCAAAAAATCAGTCAGAATCAGCTACTATATTTATGAATAAGTCCATTATTTTTTAAAGTAATTATTCTAATCTAAGAATTACTTACTAGTGTCCGAGTGGAGAGAAGGCGGAAAAACGGCTCGTCTGCAGTTTGATCCCGATCCAGAGATGATGCCTGTTAGTAGAGTCATTCACGGCCAGCTGGTTGTTCACTATGATGTGGAGAGATCCCTCGATGCTGGTGATGTTCAGGTAATGAGTCTGTGAACCTGTGTACCTTTATTTTTATTTACAGATATACCGTATAAAGTGGTGGAGGTATTACTGTCACATTAAGTCTTGTAAAGTAAAAGGACACAAGTGCAACTAATGTGACATTTATTGTGGCAACGTTTCGCTCTCCTGGAGAAGTGGCTTATATACTGTAGTCAGGTGAGTGGAAGCAGGAGACGGCGGGATCACAGTGGAACCTGCCACTAGTGTAAGTAGGTCTTCGTCCAAAGGTTGGACAGGTATTGAAGAATTCCTTGTATCAACAACCCATGATGATGCATATGGGAATCTTTGTTGCATAAGTGTCTCAATCTTCAACTTGTCGGTTTTCAGGACCAAATTATCACACAAAAAAAAATATAAATACGTGCTGGAATGTACACCCAAGACACTTAGGGTATGGATACCTTATGGAATGACGTGTCATTATACCACTGTCATTAACAACTGTTTAACTTCCAATGAAAGCAGAAGAATCGTATCATATTCTCCAAGTCGGTTTTATTTACACTGGATACGGTACAAGGGGTCTTTTTCTAGACCTTTTGTGTACCTGATTTGTTGTCTGAGAGTATGAACATACATGTCGCTTCAGTAAAAATCAGCGATCAGCTACTTTATTGATAGAAAACAGTTATCTATCTTACTAGGCGGTGGACCGGTAAGCAGCGGAAAAGGCTCGTCTGCAGTTGACCAAGCTCCAAGGATATCCAGGAGAGCAGAACGGTTGCTCAATAAATGTGAACCCACTATGTTAGTTGACTTGCTGTTCCTTTTTTTTTACAGATGTCGTTAAGTGTAGACACTTATCACATTAAGTCTTGCTCATTGGAGTTTTTTGCCGTTTAACTGAGGCTTTCCGCTGGCTTACCATCGCATTAGATGTGATAGTAAGGTTTTCACCCTATACAAAAAAAATGGATAAACACACATTATTATCCTAGGATTACATACTGCATTTTGATTTTATTAAAAAATGGATCAGCCTGACGGTGGTTCGTACGCTGGAGAATGTGCGACCTGTAGTAACAGCCTGGTTTAATCAGGCCATGATCCACCGGGAAGCCTGGTCAAGGACTGGGCCGAGGGGGGCGCTGACCCCCGGAACACCCTCCAGGTGCATATATTCCTGGTAGTTAGACCTGAATTTTCACCCCATCCTCCCCCCTAGTTAAACAGTGATATACATTCAAACAAATTTATGATATTCCATTTTTATATAGTTTACATCGAGACTAACATAGCACCTTAACCTTGTTTAAAAAATTTGTGATATATATTAACTTAACTTACCTAATGAATCTGGGATTCTATGTAACCTGAGTGAAAAATCATATGATTAAATCCCAGTCAACTGATTTTGTTCCTGGCAAGTAAATAAATAGTTATTTTCCACCCAATAAGCTTAATGTCAACAGCAGGTAAACTGGACGAAGCCAGAGATGTAAGTTAAGGATACAAAACACAGACACTTAAGTCATTTTTAACGAGGAAATGTTTCCATCGCAGAGAAGAAAATGGCACAATACCGTGACTGGAACAATACACAAATAACCTGCACATATAGAGACGTTATTTGTGTATGTTTCGATCCTAGTACCTCATGTTGGCAAATTCTTAGAAGCAGGAATAAATGACATAATAAAAGTCAACTTGATTAGCATAATTTGATTAATGTCTTAATATGGATTAACAAGGCGTTCTTTCCTGTCAAATATACTGACCTTCTTCAGTGAAGTATTTGAGACTGGACAATGATAAAAAAAATATGCCATGTTGTTTACATTCCAGATGGAGTCTTACATAAATGACTTAAAAAAAATGGCAGCACCTGGCAGTTGAGAGAAAAAATCATTGTCTCATGGATAGAGGCATGATGAACAACAGGAAGCAAGGACCTTGCATAAATAGGGTGACATCAGAATAAGGAAGAGTCACAAGCGGCGTTTACATGGCTCAGTTATGGGTCCCCTATGTTCATAATTTACATTAACGACCTTGACAAGGGAACAAAAAACGGCATGAGTAAATTCACTGACGACACAAAAAATAGGCCGAAAAATGGAATTCGGAGGAGGATACCATCGAATTTCAGGAAGATTTGGACAAGCTGATATTGTGGTCTGAAAAGTGGTCGAGTAAGTTCAATGTGGGAAAATCCAAAGTCTAAATCCTTGGGAATTAGGATAACCTTTACACATATAGCTTGGTGTTGTACAGTTTGATCGTGTGAAAAAGGCTTGGGAGTCAAAGCAGAAATTTGAAACCAAGACAGCGGTGCCTAAGCGTGTGTAATAAGAGTAACTGTCAGCTTGGATTTTTATCAATAATTATGAGTAACAGAGTCCAAAGGTTATTCTACAGCTCTACACATCATGAATGAGCCCTCACTAAGATTATGCAGCTCAGTTCTGGTCTCTAGACTTTTGAAAGTATAGAAAAACATACGTAAAAGAATAGCAAAATTAATCCTCTGTATAAGGAATGTTTCAGACTAAGAAAGACTGAGACCCCTAGTCTTACACACTTCTGAAAGTCACAGGTTGCAGAATGAGAGGAGAGATTATAAAAGTACACAAGTGGAAGACAGATTTGATACAAATGAGATACAAATCGAGTTCCATGAATATCTAATCATGAAAGAACTGTGCGCAGTGGATTCAAGTTACTACTTTAGATAGCTTTGAAAATAGACTGGATAACTGTATAAGTGAGAAGAACTGGGCTTGTGAATGCTTTGAATGCTCCTCTATTCGCATGTTCCTCTGTTCAAATTATTAAGTCTTGGACAAGGTACGGAACTAACCTCTTGGACGAGGATTGGCCAGTATTGCTCTCAGGACTTACGATTGGATTTAGAGACTATCTTGGCCCCATTTCCTGTAGAATACTACTGCATATAACTTATTTGTTCAAGAAATCATCGGTCCGTTCTATTACAGGCTCTTAGTAGAAACTTGTAAATTACGTATAAGAAGGATCAAACAATTTACATGAAAGTAAAGGCATGACACGGAAGGTAATGAGTTTACAAGACTTACCTGTCATTTACCTATCTTGAGACACAAAGAAAGACAGCATTGCAGTACAAAGTTAACTGTGCAGAACAACTCTTTTATTTTAGAGACGCTTCGTTACGGCTTTGTTTATGCAGAGGAAGACGGATCTTGTACATTTTTTGCACATTTGATTAGTAAAACCCTATTAAGGCAGCATATCTCTTCCTGCATTGAACGTTCCGATGCACTATTGGACAGGTTTGTTATAACTTAAGGTAGAGACCTCAACATCGCATAGTTACATATTCCTTTTATTATATCTTTGATATAATTTTATTGAATGATAATAACTGATAGTTATTTAATACAGGTAATATTTTTATGGAAATATAATAAATCGGATAATATTTAAATGAAACGTGACAAACAAGTTTTTTTAATATTAATAATGAAATTGCGGTTGAAGACGGGTATTCGTACTTTCTTGCACCCATTGATTACAGTACACACCCAAACCATCACCTTCCTGATTGACGTTCCGGATCTATGGAAGTTTAAGCGTCACAGGTGAGAGACCTCACATCGCAAGTGAATTCCTTATTAAATACTTTGATATATATATATATATATATATTATATAATATATATATATATATTTATATATATATATATATATATATATTATATATATATATATATATATATATATATATATATATATATATTTATTATATATATATATATATATATATATATATTATATATATATATATATATATATATATATATATATATATATGAAATCACAAAACAAGTGATTCTGAATCATTAATAGAACTGCGTCTAGCCAGGATTCGATTCTGTGTCACTATGCCCAGCCCCATGAGTACAGGACAATATACGCATCACTCTATCCACTGGGCCAACAATCTCAAACACCAGGAGCCCAGCGGAACTGGGCGTGTTTCCATGATGCGAGAATATTCGTGGCCTTGGGATTAGGGAAACATGCCCAGTTCCACTGGGCACTCTGGTGTTTGGAGTGTTGGCCCAGTGGATAGAGTGATACATACATTGTCTTGTTCTCATGGGGCTGGGCATGGTGAAACAGGACCGAATCCTGGTTAGCCGCAGTTTTAATGATTCACTATCACTTGTTTCGTGATTTTATATATACAGTGGAACCTCAAATTTCGAACGTATCGCTTATCGAACTCTTCGAAAATAGAACCCTTTTTTCGAACCAACTTTGTCCCTATTATCGAACTCGCCCCTATTTTCGAACTGCTGGGTACTGGACCTGTCCGGCAGCCTGCTCTGCCCTCATCCCCATGTAGGCGCCATGAGCCAGTCTGGTTTTGTTGATACTTGAGTGAACACTAACCTGCGCTCTCATTCAAACATTTTATGATTATTTAGTTATGTTTAGTGCTTGTGGGACTGTGAAATAATCTACAATGGGCCCAAAGAAACTTGCTACGAGCCATCAGCTGGGCTGTGGCTCGTACGTTGGACTGCATGCGGCCAGCAGTAACAGCCTAGTTGATCAGGCCCTGATCCATCGGGAGGCCTGGTCATGGAACGGGCCGCAGGGGCGTTGATCCCCGGAATAACCTCCAGGTAACCTCCAGGTAAGGAAATAATACAGAAGTGGAATGATGTCCAAATGTTTGAGGAGAAGTAGCACCCTGAGCAAGCTGAAACAAGCCATCTTTGCAACAAGTTTAGTGACAGAACAATGCCCCATTTTAGGAAATCTTAAAGAGGCACCAGAAACAGAGGACTGTGGACAGTTATTTTGTGAGACAGGGATCCAGTGACTCTCAAGCTGGTCCTAGTGGCATTAAAAGACAGAGAAGGGAAGTAACCCCAGAGAGGGCTTTCATACCTGAAGTCCTCATGGAGGGGGATTCTCTTTCCAAACACTAACCCCAACTCCCTCTCTTCTCCCTATCTTCCAGATGCCATCACCAATCTTCAATAAAGGTAAGTAAAATATTATATAAATATATATATATATATACACATATATATATATATATATATATATATATATATATATATATATATATATATATATATATATATATATATATATATATATATATATATATATATATAACTAACTAGATTCTTAACGCTCTAAACCTTTACACCACCATGGCAGATAATTTTATGCGCTTATTAAGACGTGTTCAGATATCTTGGAGTCAACCTGTCGAGAATGGATCTATGAAAGACGAGGTCCATCACAGAAAAGAAGAGAGTGGGAAGAAGGGTGTAGGGTGCACTGAAGCATATGTGGACACCAAGAACTTTTCCCTTGAGCAAAAGGAAGACTGTATCAGAGTATAGCAGTTCCAATACTGTTATATGAGGGTGAAACATGAGTTTTTGTTGTTGCAGCAAGGAGGAGGATGGATGCAGTGTAGATATCGGTTTCGAGGGCAATGTGTTGTGTAAATGTTATGCAGAAAATTTGCATCTTGGAGATTAGAAGGTCTGGGGTTACCAGAAGTATAATTCAGAGAGCTGAGCAGACGTTGTCGAGGTAGTTCGAGCTCTTAAAGATAATGGGGCAAAATAGGATGACTAGAACGGTATATAAATCTAGAGTGGAATGAAGTAGGGGTAGGGGGGACTATCTCAGGAAGTGTTGAAGGGTAGCAGCAAAGGAGTCTTTGAGCGCTAAGGGCTTGAGCATCCAACAGTCTTGAGTGAGAACAGATAAGAATAACTGGAGGCAAGTGGCTTTTGTGACTTGACATGCTGATGAAGAGTACGCAACATAACGTTTCTGAAGGAATTCGGAAAAGCCAGTTAGCCGGACTTGAGTCCTGCAAGTGGGTGCTAATTCTGCAGTTTGGAGAGTTATCTGAGCTCTGATGCCAGCACGTTTCTGAAAAGACAACGATTGAACGAATGATGGTGAATGTGTTTCTTTGGATCACCCTACCTCTCTGAGAGGCGCCGTCGCGTTAAAACGAAATGGACTGGAGCAATACACAAATAACCCGCACATAGGAGAGAGAAGCTTACGACGACGTTTCGGTCCGAATTGGGCCATTTACAAAGTCACTGTAACTTTGTAAATAGTTCTAGTCGGACCGAAACATCGTCGTAAGCTCCTCTCTCCTATGTACGGGTTAGCTGTGAAATAAAATGAATATCCACACTGCATAATAACTTTGGCATGAGTACAGACACACCCTATCAAGCAGAGTACATGACGAGCAGCGAGTTGTGTCCTGGTGACCCATTCAGTCCTTGGCCAGACTCGGCAGTACTTAACCTGACTGCTGGAATCACACAAATGTCCGCCGGAGTATGGTATGTAGTTACTGACAATTACTGTTTGCCTTTTTCTGGGGGGGGGGGAGACATTTAGTTGGATGCTTTATTAGGCTTGAAGCCCATCGACAGTGAGTCTTTGAGGACCAGGAGCCTGGGTGGAAATTTAAAAGATCGTCTCAGTAGGTTAGTTTCCCAGTTATAAAAGTTAGCTCTGTCATTGTTTCAGAAAAATCTGATAATAATAATAATAATAATAATAATAATAATAATAATAATAATAATAATAATAATAATATATAATATTATTATTATTATTATTATTATTATTATTATTATTATTATTATTATTATTATTATTATCATTATTATTATCATTAAGTGCTTAATTAGGTTCAATCTGGCGACCTTACAGAAAAATTTCTCCTTTGTAGTTGTCAAGGAGACGCCTTGTTAACGCACCGGCCGCCTCCCGCCCAAGTAGAGTGACTCGACCTGATGAATGGAGAGAGGGGTAACACAGTTACTAAATATCTTGTGACAATTCTCCTCAGAATTGACACAAGCTCTGAACCCGTACTGGTCGCATTAAGATTTTTTTTTAAATCTCTCTCGCGTAGATAACAAAGATGGAAGAATAACGCAAGCCTTGATTCTGGCATCGTTTCGCCCAAGGAGAGCTTTATTATAACGTTTTGCTCGAGGTAAATTTTATTATTACAACGTTTCGCCATAAGAGAGCTTTATTATAACAACGTTTCGCTTAAGGAGAACTTTATTATCATGCTATACTCGAGGATAATTTTATTATTACAACGTTTCGCTTAAGGAGAACTGTATTATAACAACGTGTCGCTCATCTAGAGCTTTAATTTAATAACGTTTCATGCATTAACACAAAGTCTTCTTTTAGCAAGCAACGAGGTGACATTCGTGCCGTAACACAAGGTCAGTTTTAGCAAGCAACGAGGTGACATTCGTGCCGTAACACAAGGTCAGTTTTAGCAAGCAACGAGGTGACATTCGTGCCGTAACACAAGGTCAGTTTTAGCAAGCAACGAGGTGACATTCGTGCCGTAACACAAGGTCAGTTTTAGCAAGCAACGAGGTGACTTTCGTGCCGTAACACAAGGTCAGTTTTAGCAAGCAACGAGGTGACATTCGTGCCGTAACACAAGGTCAGTTCTAGCAAGCAAGAGGTGACATTCGTGCCGTAACACAAGGTCAGTTTTAGCAAGCAACGAGGTGACATTCGTGCCGTAACACAAGGTCAGTTCTACCAAGCAACGAGGTGACATTCGTGCCGTAACACAAGGTCAGTTTTAGCAAGCAACGAGGTGACATTCGTGCCGTAACACAAGGTCAGTTTTAGCAAGCAACGAGGTGACATTCGTGCCGTAACACAAGGTCAGTTTTTAGCATACCACGAGAATTCGTAAGCGATTAAAATCTGTTAATGCAAATTTCTTTGCAGGTGAAGGATGCTTTGCGTCACATCTTAACTGACCTTAATGCTGGTGACACCTTCAACATCATTCGTTTCTCTACGTATACCGACAAGCTTGGTACGATGCGCTACACCGGGACAGCCGTAAGGAAAGCCAAGAAGTATATTAATAATCTTGAAGCTGACGGAGGCACAAACATTGACGGTGGACTGAAGGTTTGTTACCTTTGCTTTCCTGTTTGGGTCTATGTGTTTGCAATGGAGATGAGGATTTAGCATCTTGAATCTTTCTATTTTTTCTCTAATGGACTGAAGTAATTTGATCTCAACGTTCTGCGTTGAAATGTCCTGTAGCCTTTGAATTACTAAACCACATTGTAAAAGAAGAAAATTTCAAAATGCTCTTACCAGTCGTGAGTGTTTGTAAAATATTCAACTTTTTTTCAACTGCATGCCAGTACCCCATCCAGAAGTGAGTCTGTTCCCATGTAGGAACAACACATAATTGGTTTAGTGTATGTACACTGTTTTACTCTGTTTATAAAGTATCTTATACTTCATTTTTAGAAAAGAGATGCTCAATAAATGTAAAAAAAAAAAACTGAAAAAAGACTGATATATATATACGTATATAATAATATTGTACAGATAAAAAGTATCGCATTTACTTGGATTGCCTCCAGACCAGTTTTTCAAAGGGTAACTTAGCCATAAAAGTTTTTAAAGATGGCTATTCTTTTTCTATGGAAGTTATGCACCACTGCTGGATGGAGATAGTTACCTGTTTATTCCTAACACAAATTTCAACCCTTCTTAGTTTGGGACAGTGCTTCTTCTTCTTCTTCTTCATCCTCTTGACAAGGCTTCATGCCATGAGCTTTGCTGTTGACTTATCTTGTCGCCTTGCAAGAAAGGTCACATTTTGTTAACTGTGTTCCAGAAGCTTGACTCACTGGTTGGATGTTCAATATTCCACCACCAGTTTGACATTATCTCATCATTTCTTAATG